TTGTGTCCGTCCGTCGGTCGTAATTAAATTACAACAAGCGCGCGGGAATCTAAAGTTAGCGAAACGAATTCCGAAGCGAAGCGTGCATATTGCGCCGATAACACGCCGGCTGACCGATGACGTACGTATCTACTTCCGCCGAGTCGAGTCGGTTAATAAATCGTCCCAATATACGATTTTCTTCTCTTGTATAAAATAAAGTGTCAACCTTTTTCAACCGCGTTACGGATGAAGGTCGCCCGGTTAATTTCGCACGGTCGCATAATATAAATTTATGTGCGCGGCTCCCATCAATTGTATTTCTATATTTATATGTAAATATATAATTCGATCGAAAGATAGAAGAGAGATGTAATCCGATTCGGTTGCGTCTGATATAAATCCGCGATGAGAATACAAAAATTTCACAGGTCAATTTCGAAGAATAATTTTGTAAGATATATTTAATTATTTTAAATTAGAAGTCACCCTGTTTTCGTTCGTAATTATACACAATGATTTGATACACAGAGATATCATTTTTTTCTTAAAATTTACTCGAAAAATCATGGTGATTTGAACCATGAAAATATGTTCGATTAATTTTATTACGTTCATATTAATATTAATATTTGTTATTCAAGAGAAAATTCTCTCTGTGTGTATATATATATATATCAGAATATATATTTATTAAAAAGAAAGATCCCGAGAAAATAAATAACAGAACAAACAGTCCTGCTGTTCCAACTTTGTTCGTATCATTCGATTTAGAATTACGCTGAACGAGGGATTTAATATATTTTATGCATTAGGAGTTTGCGCGACAAAAACGCGACGTTCCCGGCGCGCGAAATTGCCACAGCGTGTAATTAAGCATTAATCGCGCAATTTATATTTGAACGACCTCGATTACTTTGCGCGCGTCAGCGCCCGACTAAGAGACCGCGTGTTTGTGTCGTGCAGGGAAAACTAGATAGCCTGAAAGGAATTTTGCATGTTTCTCTTTTGTGCCTTGTAATAAATATATTTTGTCTTGTAAAATATTATAATAATTAGCCTTGTAATATGTAATACATTCCTATATTTATTTATTGTATTACAGAGTAATACGATATTTATGAAGAGTATATATATATATATTTATAATAATCCAATACAAAATAACATTCGTGTTTTTTTTTTTTTTTTTTTTTTTTTTTTTTGAGCCACTTGATGTTGCCCGATACGAGTGGAAAAAACAGACAATATTGACAATATCCGTGTGACAACTATTCTTCCAACGTGTTCGATTCGTATGATACCGATCGGTAACAAAACATTTTTGACAACGATATAATAATTTTATACGCATCGCAGCATGAAATTTTTATTAACAGAAATAAAATATCTGACGTATAAAGCCATTGTATCTTTTAGATTTTAGATTGAAACGACACGCACGGGTCAATCAGACATGTAGAATCGCTATTCTCTCGCTTTCCTCTTGAACATTTTAAAATTTTCAAAAGCTCGCAATGAACAGATTTTTTCTTACCTACTTATGTAAAATTGTATGTAAAATCGTGTTAAATTTGTTTAAAATGCTGCATATCGCGCCTCACTCGATTTTACATTGCATTATAATATTGTGCAACCCGCGTTAATTTTTTCTTCTTTTTAATCTCAATCCGTCGAGTGATATCAAGTTGGTATGCATATATAAGGGGAGTTATCGACCACTCGTTCTCGACTAATTATTATTATCGCATTTAATTGCACCGCGCGCTCCAGTTTAAAACCTTCTGATTAAGTCTGACGTTAACTTCGACGCGTGGCTGAATGTCGGAATTTTTCGAGTCGTCGCATTAATTACAGGTTGTTACGGCGATGCTTGTCTTGTAATTAGCCCGTTGGCGGAAACGCAAACTCTTTGCGCGGACTGTAATTATACGGAAAAATGTAACAAAAATACAAACGTCAACTATCCTCGATTTGTGAAACTGGTATATATATATATCGATTTGTCCAAAGCAAGGGCACGTTACGGCGGGACGCATTGCGGATCGTGAATTTTTAAACATGTTTTCCATCTGAAAGCACAGTTGGAATATTTTCGAAGAGCTTGTTTCACGAATATTCCGCATTATCCAAATTCACCGTTGTTTAGCGTTTTAGCTCTCGTATTTTTTTCCGCCGTAGCGTGTTGTTTTTGATAATAATTAGGATTCCATATAAATTCCTTTTTATTTTTTGCCGTATTTTTCTCTTTAACGCGCAAAATTTTAATTTCCTCGAATTTTCAATCTCCCGATGGAAAAAATATATTCTAAAATTACATTTGTACATATATTTAATACATAACATGGTACGCGTTATATAAATACGATGACGCGTAAATTTGAATCGCGAATCCTATCTCGCGAGTTTGGTCACGAACGCGGAAAATCTGTGAATTCATATGTGCGGACGCGCTGGCTAACGTAGCTTAAGATTTTAATTCAGTTTCAGCAGTTTTAATTATGCGCGTGGCAAGAAGCTTCCCCCTTCTTCTCTTCCGTAGCTCTGCCGTATCCGAGATCTTAAGCCGCTTAGTTAGCTGTAAAATAGCGAGGCTTCAAGCCCGGAGGAGAACAAAGAAAATACGGATTATACGGGAGCATTCGACGTTCAACGAAACTCGGCAGTTTACCTTGCCAAAAGGGTTATTAAAACTAACATAATCGCATCAGGATAATTACGCAAAATTTTGTTCGTAGTTTTCGCCAAAGTCTTCCTCAATGGAAATGCGCGCGGAAATCTACGGAATATTTGATTGATAAGATAAAGATTTGATGAGTGCGAGTCGCACTCAAATAAATCTATTTTAACATAATGCCGTTTTCAGCAGAGTAGAATAGCTTAGCGGTACGGCACGGCAATTTTAGTCAAAGCATCAGCCAAAGTCAAAAACATGATAAAGACGAACATTTCATTTGTACTGCGACATTCACAAAGTGAATGAAATAGAATTCTTTAATACTTTTTTTCATATTTTATTTCTCTTATTTTTTTATTACGCTCTGCGTAAGAAGGATAAAATTTTTCGGTGAAATTTTTTTACACAAGAGTGTTTAGATTTAAATTTTCGGCATATTTTTCTGTCGTTACATTAATTTTTTAACTTTTATCTTTTTCTTTTAGAGAATGATTTTTTCTCTCGGCAAAATCAGAGATAGAAGTTTAAACTATTATTATATATAAAAATCTCCTTTTTAATTATTCAACGGACGAACCTATTAGCAAACGCTTTGTACAATATAATGACAAATAATAATAGTAATAACAATAATAATAGTATTATAAATAATAACAATAATGAGAGAGAGAGAGAGAGATTATTTTAATTGATCAACTATTAATCTGTGCACGGATTGAACTGTATATAGGTAATTTATGTGCATTAAAGCCACTAAATACTGATGAGAGCGCAGCTGCTATATAAACGATGGCGTATGTCAGTCAGTCGTAAGTTACACACCACCAACACACAGACTTAAGCAACGGAACAGCTCGGTTATACGCGTACGCGCATATGTTCCTACGTATGTAAAGCGTTCGGAGTGATTTAGCGCTCGCTGAACTTTACGGGGGGTGAAAGACATTTTCCTTGGAACGTGCGCAAAAAGGGACCAACTCGCGTACATCACTGTAATAAATTCATACTGGCGAATTGCGCTCGCGTAGGCGGCGATTTTTCGTCCTACAACGATAGTTTTTATATATGTGTTACCTATATTATTATATATGTATATACGTATCATTATCACTGTGTGAATAATTGTAAAACTTATTTTAATTTATACGAAAATTAATTTTGACACTCTGACGATCGCGAATATATATATATATATAGATAGATATAGACGACGAGGAAACAAAGTGGAAAGTTTCATTAAGAGGACTCGACGCGGTAAAAATATTATTAATGACAGCGAAAAACGATCGATTTCTCTTTCTTTTGCTATTTCTCCCCCGTAAAACCAGCTAATTATAATCGTACAATAACTTCCGCTATTTTGCGTTCATATAATATGTCTCAACTTTTATAAGCCGTAACGTTTGAAACTAATATTGGACTTGTGATCTTTTCTTTTTTAAACATTGTGAAAAAGCTGTCCAAAGTTGCTTATAATGTTTAAAAGAGTTATAATGCGCGCATATGAAATTGACTTATGGCCGGTCGGTTCTCTGCCTCGGAGCAGCTTTTATGAAAGCTCGTTTATAGTACGTGATATTAAACGTCGATATGAAGCGGAGATCTCGGCGCGTTCTCTCTTTCTCTCGAAATCGCGCGGACGTTTCGTCGTCCTACGCGCCGGATTTATGTCCTCTCGTAAACAAAGCTGGCTCCTAAGCTGATTTAACGTCGATCCGCGCATACCGGTGTGTCAGTATCAGTTACGTGCCAGAGAGTGCGGTGAACGCGCGCGCAGTGACACAGAAATTAACTCTAGTGCCGGAGAGAGAGAGAGAGACTCTCTAGAGATTCGGAAGACAACAGACCGCGTGTGTTTCCATTCCCGGGTATTTCGCCCGGAATCGTTATTCCCCGATCGATAGATACAGACTGCTGAGAAATTATATGCGCAAACTTTGAAATTGCTCTCCGAATACGAATCCGGAAGAGTGCTGCTTTCACTACGAATGTATATATATAGTATAGTCGGTCCTTTTTGCCGAATCTCTAGAAAGATGGCTGAGGGAGAAAAAATTTCGGAGAGAGAGGATTTCTTCTCATTCAATTATTCAGATGAGACGAATTTCGAATAAAAATGCGTGACCAATTTTCAAATAAAGAGACGAAAATAAAAACTTCTTATATCAGTATCTTATGCAGATAGATGTAGAATACACGAGGGTATATTGTTGTCTCGCGATAATAAACAGTGAATAGTTTAACTTAATTAGAGCGTCAACGCAGATTATGGCGGATGACATGCGGGAAATGTAGATATACCGTGTATGTATATATGTATTATATGTACGTAACAGATACTCACACTTTATGTCCAAGTTCAGTGGATTGCTCTCACCGTCGCCCTCTTGATTATTGCCGATGCACGTGTAAATCCCAGCTCTACTGCGAGTGACGCTTTGCAGCACCAGGCTCTGATTACTTATTATCGTTCCGGTCGTCGGATTGTGATACAGCGGATTGCCCTGCGAATGCGAAATCAAACGAGGGCGTGTTGTGTTTACTTGGCTACCGTGAATAAATTCGCGGACGAAAGATTCAGCGTGACAAACTAAATAATCCAAGGTACTCGAGTAATAAACTGCCCGAGTAATCAAATACAACGAACTTCGATTAAAAAGGAACAAAAGGAAATTGAGAGAATTTTATATTGACCAAAAAAAGAGCTTCTTGCCATATAATTAAAAAAATTTGCTACGTGAAATCGGCAAAGCGATGGTAAAAACAGATAAATAAGTAATAGATAAATAAAATCAAATAAATAAATAAATATGAAAGATGTAAATGGAGGAATAAACTAATATTACGCACTTTTCGCGCGCGATATTAAAGCGCGAAAACTGTATATTCGCGTTTCTCGCGAAGGTCTAAGCGATAATAAATCCCGCGTGAGAAATTCACGACGAGGAATGCTGACAGTTTTTCGATCTCTCTCGCGTTTCCTCGTCGTGCGCGCGACTTTCGAGACGATGAAAGCGGCTTTGAGTTTTCGCGAAACAAATTTTGTAGTCCTCGAACCGAGGGAATTGATTGGGATTTGCGTTTCTCCGATGTTTCCATGTAAACGACATTCGCTCGATAAGAATCATCGAAATTGGCTCGAACGGATATCAAAGTTGGAAGAATATTCGCAATAACTTTAATGTCGTAATACATATATATAGTTCTTTGAAGAATGAAATCTTTGATTCTTGTGCCATTTAAATGTATTTTCGGAATCTCTTTTGTTCCTTTACATTTTTTTTTTTTTTTAAATAAAATTGACCTATATCGACAATTTGTGAATTATTAAGAAGTGGAATCAATCATGTTATTTATCTTTAATTTACTTTAGAAGTAAGTAAACTTCAATATAACTATAATTTACGTTATTTAATATTAAGATATATTTAATATTGAATTTAGAAAATTTCAAAAAAGCTGAATGCGCTACAAAAAGAGGAATAATCAAAAATTACGTTTTAAAAATGTTTACACGGATATTACATGAATGTGTGTGTTCTAATGACAGTAAAAGAGAACTATGCTTTGTATCGTAGGATTAAAAATAAATTGAGAATGATTGAATGCAATTGCTTCCCAAATGGTTTAATTGCGACAGGGAATACCTTGATTTATATCTATGATTTATGTCATACCATCAGTTCCAAATCAATCGCGCGTATGACTTTATCATCGATAAAGGCAGAGCGTTCAAAACGAATGAAGGGATTAACACATTCGGGCATTGACGAATCGCATTCTTATTAAGCGTTGATAAAACGCGTCGATTTATATCTGTGCAGTTAAATCCACGCCGTGATTCTCGTCCCGCATCAATCAAGCGAATCATTCTACTAATAGCAAAGAAAAACATTGCGTACTCGAGCGGCTTAGAGTAAATACGGATAAAGTGATGCGATCCCAGTGGATTACCACTCATGAAAATTTCGATATCCGCGTTGCGATTCGCGTTAGAAATGTTGTACCAAAATACGCGGATTATTCTGATTTGGGGAAATATCCTTTATGTCCATTTACTCGTTAAATTATTTTTTTAATGGATTTTACGCGGACTATTAGGCGTTAAAAATTTCAAGTGGCTGAAAATTAAAAATTTCTCACTTTACTTTTCACAAGAGCTGTAATAAATTATTTAACCATCATTTGCGCGTACGCGTATTCTTTACTAATATATAAAGAGATGTTCGTTCTGTTGTTTGGAGTAATCGCAGAAATTACTGAAACAATTTGAAAACATATTTCACTGGATAGTGTAAATCTTCTTCATAGGCTATTAAGTTCAACGCGTCCGATAATATGTTTTTGAAATAGTAATTAATTCGAACACTGTTCAGATTTTATATTTGTATGTTAATTTAGATTTTATATTTGTACGTTACAGACAACACGTAAAGTTCGGGAGTGCCGTTGAAAGTATCGCGCGTACGAGTGCGGGAGTGCCGATAAAATAAGTATCGCGCGTGTTATCCCGACGATCTGAGAAGAGGAGGCCTGAGAGAGGCATCGGGCACAATCGGAGCAACCCTAAGGTGAATATATATCGTCATTTATACCAATTAATTATTAGAAATCATATTAATTCAGTTCATTTATGTGAATAATTTAAAAAAGAGAAACTTGGAGAGATTATATAAATACTTATATAAATCTTATAAAACGTTTCTACTTAAAAATTATTTTATATTTATATACATATAGTTTATTATTATTATGAACCAAATATAAAGTTCGACGCGTTCAATAATATTTTATAAAAATACTAATCAATTTAAATTGTGCTGTAATTTAGATTTTATATTTGTGTATTACAGACAACGTAGCTTGAATTACTCCGCTGTTGTACACCAGTGTCGGTGAGTGAGATGAACTTTTATTCAATTTTGAGGCAACGGATTTATAGATCGTAGTTGTAGATTGTAGACAGATTCGTTGTGCGTTTCAAAATAGGTAGACTAGAATGAATTAGATCAAACTTGTTTAGATTGGATTTTTTGATAGATGCATTTAATATACATATTACACATACAAGTGTAAATTAATTTAAAAAACGCGCTTGTAATTCATAAGAAATGAATGACGAATTATTTTTCGCGTTAAGCGAAGATCGTCTACTCCAACGTATAATAAGTAGTCGAATTTGTGTGTGAGACAAGGGAGAAATATGAAAATTATCTACCCAAAATGAAATGCTCGGGATGCGCGAAAATTTCTAATAGAACCGAACCATCCAAGGTTAATTACTATCCGAGGAAAGTCCGCTTTATATGCGTCCCGCACAGCGCGCGTTTCAGTGATACGAATCCGAGATCAAACACTGGAGTTTTCGGACGGAAGTTTATCGTGTGTCGCAGGTGCGCCCTACCGTTCCCTTATCTCGACGCGATTAAGCCTCGGCTTATATTATCGATTTCTGAACCGGATTCGTTATCTGCGACCCTACGTGGCGGGGGTGTGGACTCACGTTATGGCGCCAGGAAACCTTGTAAACCCAGGGATTGGACTTGATGTTGCACTCGAAGTAAACGTCGATACCTTCCCGAATAGCGCTCGAATTCAAATTGCTGCCAAGCTCGAGGGTAACCACAGGCTCGTCTGAAAACAGAATCAACATCAAAGCCGAAGCGCGAAATGCGCCAATATGAGATGCCGCTTTAATTACAAGAATTAATGCGTATTATGCCTACGCGTTCTACTATAGATGCTTAGAATTAAAAAAAAAATTGAAAATTAAAAAATTAAAAATGCTAGCATTTTTAAAAAGGGATGTTAAACATTTTAAAGTTCTGAACATGTCTCAGAAGCAATGGAAAAGTGCAATAATCGTTAAAGGTATTAATTTACTGCGTGTTTTAATATTAATATACAACACGGGAAAAAAAATTAGCTAAATTTTAGCTGTCCATATATTGCAACGCTGAAATTTCGTTATCGTGCCTAAATAGCTATGCAACTAATAGCCATAGCTTAATGGAGAATGTTATAGCTAAAAAATAGTTGTCATAGCTAAAATTTAAGCATGATAACTAAATTTCATGTGTAATATATGGACAGCTAAAATTTAGCTAATTTTTTTTTTCCATGAATCTATAACGCGCGATTTACTTTCTCGCTACTCGATTATATGGTGTAACATCGCGTCGTAAATAAATGGTCAACCACATCGGATGCCGGCGGATTTTCCCATCGAGAGAGTCTCGTCCGAGCGTTCGTTCAGTGGTATTATCTTTTCATGGAGAGGGAAAAAAATCGCGGTCGCGTATCGAACGTTACTTATGATTCCTTTCACTGCGAATCCGATAATTCCGCCGTTTCGCGCTTGCAATAAACGAGTAAATTTCCTCGCCCCGTCCGGAATTACTAGCGGACGCGTACTAATGGAAATAAAAAAAGAAGAACGAGAAAGAAACCGCGAAAAAGACGAGAAAATAGGACTGCCAAAGTATTCGAAATAGTGGAAACGCAACGGCGAAATCGAGTTGAATCTTCAGTACGGCGAATCGGCATGTGCCATTAATTTCCTCGCGAGCCTCTGTCTCTCTGGCTTTCCTTCTTTCGTGCCTCAGATCGGCTAGAGAAACTTTTATATTAGACAGTGAAATCACGACGTTAATCCTAGCTTGACTGCGACGTTTCGCGGCGATTCGTTTTGCAACTTTACGTATTAATGTCGCTGGAAAGTTACGGAGCTGCAATTTGAACTACGACGCAGAGGCGCATCGATGTTCGCCACCTCTCTTAATCCAGCATCCCCATCGAAAAATCAAATTCGGATATATATGATATAATCAATGCTAATAGATTAAAAAAAAAAAATTCGAAACAAATTATCGAAGGTATAAAAGTATAAACGAACGAAATAAGTAATTTAGAAAATATCGCGAAATTAATCAATAATGTTGATTAGATATTTCTAGTGTTCATAAAATACGTAGAGAATTTTATATTAAATTTTTAAAATGTCGAATCAAAAAGAAATTGTCTATCTTTATAATCTTGAACCTTTAACTTTCGATTTGTAAATGTATAGAAAAAAAAAAAATGAAGTTTGAAAAATAAAATAATGCGATATTAGATTCAAACTCGACAATAAATGTTACATATTTCGCGCAAACAATCTTGCCGACGGCAACGGGATCCAAAGTAAAAGGAACGGCGTTAGAATTCTCGATTGAAATTGTAATGTTGACTTTGCAGCGTACGATATGCATGCGAAATGTGCTTGTAAAAATATTACGTCGATAGAAGTTTCCACTGTGCGACGCGCGGTCGCATACGCGACGCGAAATTGCGGGACACCCCGGTGCGTTTCTGTGAAAACACTCACGATATATATTGAGCTTCCATCCTTGCTCCATCTCCGACTCCGGAATATCTTCCACGCTGGCGCGACAGTAGAGGAACTTGCCGGCGTCTTCGATACTCGGCACGAATGTGAGGACGCTGGTTGTTATGTTGCCGTCAGGACTCGTCTGCCGGCGAGAATTTCATGAATTTAAAATAGTTTGCCGAACAATTTAATCATCACGATATGCATACACATCCCGGGAGCCATCGAATCCGCCGTCTGCGACGGATTGAATTAGATCGCGATGATTATGCCGGCATCGTTCAAACGATTTCAAAACTTCATTTTTCAACATCCTGGATTGAAATATTTCATCTTCTATTTGTATCTATTAAAAGAAGATTCCTAATCGGGTCAAAAAAAAATTATATATATATGTCATTTACTAATGAATATAGATTCTTTTTATTTTCTGCAATTTATAACGGAAATATGATATGCATATCGCGATACTCGTAAAAATAATTGTTTTCTCAGAACTTTTCCCGTTAGGGAGGTATTAATTTAATTACGTCAATTTTTACTTCCGAAGACTCGGAGAAGACCGAGTCGGGAAATAATTGCAGAGACATCCGGAGAGAGTTCTCCGGATGAATTTGTCTTGTGTGATTTACGTGAGTGCATTAAATCGTCGACAATCTGTTTTAAATCGTACCGTTTCCCGTGCATTTCGCAGTATCGCGTTCCCTTTAGACCACGTGATCTTCGGGGCCGGTCTGGCTCCGACAACCTCGCAACCTATCTCATAGGTCTTGCCGGCGCTAAGTGGACGGTTCTCTCCTTGAATCCGGACCCAGAGCGGTTTTACTGTAAAAGAGTGTGTGTGTGTATATGTGTGTGTCGCACTCAGTTTAAACACCCATCGAGATCCGCGTGTGAAGCTAATAGAAATTTTCCCGGTTGAAACTCAATTCGCGCCAAATCGATACGCAACGATCCTTAAGTCTCAATTTAACACGGAAAATTTTGAATAAAATTGCCTATAATTAAGAATTTGCAAATTTCTCATCATCCCAATTTATGACGTAGCGAATTTAATTACATATGTGCATATTTAATGCCATATTTTCCATAATATTTATAAGCAGTAATAATGCAGATAATAATGCAGTAATAATATCACATTATTGTGATTTACACTCATTAAATTTTTAATTAGAAATAATAACGTTGCACTGTCATTTATAATCTTTTCACGTATAAAATCTTTCATCAAAGATTATTTTTCTCTCATAATCGTTTTATAAAATTTATTCAATTATATAGTCTCTCGTTAATTTATTATGGCCCCCTTTTTATTTTCCAACTTTTATTAATTATTATGGTATGTTGATGTAATTAAAAATGTATTTTTGAATTAATAATTAACATAACAATACTGGCAACATACAGTGTGAATTTATAATATTTCTAAAAAATGACAAGAATGACATATCTATATATAATTGCTAATATGCTGATGCTAGTATTGTACTTAAAAAATATCTAATATTGTAAATATTATATAAAAATTTAATATACTTTTCTGACAAAATCGTTAATGGTATTAACTTTACATTATTAATTATTTGAACGTATTAATTTTGTACTACTATTTAAAACGTTTCAAAATGAACGATCTAGCGAATTAATTATTCTCATTGACATTTTTTAAAATGATTTTAATAAATTTATCAATTAAAAAAGCATACAATTATTTTGTGAAATAGAAAGAAGAAGAAGGACTCTTCCATCCAAAGAAATTACAAAAATGGAGACTTAATTATTCTCAAGATTTAATAAATATAAACCAAATACTATTCATGTTGAATATTGATGACTATGATGGCCATGATAAAGGAACTGAGGGATTGTGTGTACGTTGTTTCGCTTCAAATTAATCCGTAACTCGTCAGTAAATCGGTACTTACAATTCATATCGAGTGTCACCGAACTTGATATCGGTGCCAACACGTTGTTGTTCGTAGCTTGGCAAGTCAGAAAGGTGCGCAGATGTTCGCGGCCCAACTTTTCCAATTGCAGCACGTTGCGGACCCTTTTAGCATCCATGGTCTCGTAACTGTTATCGAGTAGAGAAGTCCCTTGCCACCATGTCACTCGTGGTTGCGGTCGCCCTAAAGAAACATAAGGGCTCCGCAGGATTCGACGAATATGCGTCGCTACTTTGTCGTTGCACTAATGGCAACGTCTATTCGGTGTGTAATCGCATTTCGACTTCAACGCCTCGAGCAGTCGATATAAAATTTTAAGCATTAGATATCAAATTGAAGTCTTTATAATAGAATCGTGCTAAAGTTTTTCTAAGAGGGAAAACGTAATTTACAACTTTAAAAAAACTTTTTTTTAAAAAAACATGGGTGAACGAAATGATTATGTACATTTAATACTTTCTTTTTTTAATAAAAAAATGTTCTTTTCAAAATCAGTTATCGAAAAATTTGATTATGATTCTATAAGAAATTCTATAAGAAATTATTTCAAATTTAAATAAGAAATACTGTTACGTGCTATTTTATATATTTTTTAAGCACAAAATTATTGCAAAAAATCCACCCAATTTTTTAATTTTGTTAATTTTTAATTTATTATAAAAAGTTTGACTTTGGATGAAAAAAATTCAATGAATGTAAGTAGCAAATCTTTGTATTCTAAAGATTGTATTCTAAAAGAAAATAACAAAGTTTAAAAAGTTTACTTTTCGAAGAAAAGTTTCGTTAACAAATAAAACTAAAACATCAAAAAGTGCAAAGAAAATATTTTTTCAAGAATATAATAAAAATAAAGTGTAAAAAAATATTACTATCTTAATTCTGAAGTCATGAAAATTTTATTAACAAATATTTAAGATACATTGTATAAAGTGTTGTATATTACGTAGTATCTTAAATGAACTTAGCAAAACTCTATTAGTATACGCGCGCGCGCGTATGAAACTTAATTACGCTATTAACGATCGAAAAATGAAATTTTCTGCATCATTAAAATATATACAATATATACATACAATATTCTTGCTTCAAACCAGCAGTCTCGATTTTTATTACGCGTTATGCCTCGCATAGAAAAAGGCATCGGCTCTTGTTCGAAATTCAAAACGCGACACGTGGAATAATGCGTTCGGCTGAAATGTCAAAGAAATCGAGCCGCACATTTGTTTCATGCGCGAAACGCGCGACCCGAGTGCTGTTGCGAGGCAACAACGAGACGAGACGTTATGGGAGGCGAGTGCATCGAAAGTGCACCGGCGCGTCATGCACTTACCACCGGCGGCGACGCACGTGAGATTGAGAGACACTCCTTCGCTGTACGGGCCGAGGATGTAATAGGGAATATGAGACCTTCCGCCTTCGTCCAATATGCTAAGCTGCTCCGGCGGTACTGTAATAATTTTCGCAATAAGAACCTCTCTCCGCATTCTCTTCCCTTTATTCGGGATGTCGGAGACATTCGAGAACAGAGAGAAGCTGGGGAGGTGAATCAATTTGCACAATAATGTGTATCGGCAATACGTGCGTCTAAGAAGACAAAACGCAGCGCGATTACTATATATTATGCAATAACGTTGAAAAATTCTCGATTAATGTATCGAAGAATGAGTATAAGCATGAATAATTTATTTGGAACGAATTCATTAATTCAACGTGACGGGGAATAAATATAAGGAAATTAAATGAGAAATGTGAAAAATTGTATAACTTATAGATAGGTTAAAGAAATGGCAAGCAAACTGATGGCGCACAGATACTGTTGTTAGCACGCTAACTGTTAATGAAGTCGGGAAAATGGCGGTAATTATTGTTATCAATTTCGCTCCGATCTGATCTTTGTAATAGTGCGCCACGTATATATATATTCTGCAGAGGAGAATTTAGATAAAACCTTTTGTCCTTTTTTGCGATAAACTCTCCTCTTTTTTATAATAACACAACAGAATTTTATATATAAAAACAAACGATAAAACAGAGATATGCAAATGTGACTACTATTAGTTACTTTCCCGTTAGGATTAACAGAGAGAAATAAATTGTCTGTACATCGGAGAAACGCGAGATATTTTTTTTTAACAAAATGCATTTACTTTTTCTAAATTTCCCGAAGATCTGATTCGCGCGAAACTATATTATTATCCAGCGTTAATCGCGCGCGAGGCAAAAATTCGCGATATCGTTAATGATGGTAATAATATCCGCGTTGCAAATGCCGGTACGAGGAAGTGAGCTGAATCAATTTGTATGATGTATCAGCCGGCGCCGTCACTTGCCGTTTTAACCATTAAGAGGCGGATGTTATTTCTGAGATGAAAAATAAATTTTAATGCGCCGGTATAGCGGCGTCTATCCGCCCCGGTATTATCGGCCACGGTCACGTAGCCGTTCTTCCATTAAGGGTAACGTTATGCCATGCAAAAAAAAAAAAAAAAAAATTAAATGCAGGCACAGTTTCAACCGCGCGAGCCGAATAGTCGAACCGATCGAACTACGATTCGATGATAACGGCGTCGATTATATTAGAAAGCCGGCATGGAAAAGCGCAAATATCGAATTGATCAACCCGGTGTATCGTACAATTCCCACGTTCCAAAACTCAATTCTCGGGAATTTCCGGCAAATGGTTATTCGTCGAATAAAATATATCCGGAAAAATTTTGTTAAAAGTTAAAATTTTAAATTTAAAAGTTAAAAGCTTAAAATTTAAAAATTTAAAGTTGTATATATATATATATATATATATATATAGAACAAGGGATTTTCGAGAGAATGATTAAATAATATGAAAATTACGGGTTTATTTTTCGTTATTTAACTTAACTAGAATTTTTAAATTCGAACTGTGCAATGCGACGAGTATGGAAAATTATTTAAATAAAAATAATACGCACATTAGGATTATTTTAAAATATTTTTAAATGACTCATTATACGCGAATTTCCCCAAAATGATCAGATCAGATATTTTCAAGAATTATAATAAAAAATCGAAAGGGACGTATGAAAAAGTTATAGAGGAACGTGCTTCGCTCTTTCCATTGACGGGCGCATCTTGCATTCGGTTTATTGTGGAATATCGTTTAGAAACTTACTGATGACCGTCAGATTGACTTTGCTGTTGCGTGTCGGCGACTGCTTGAAATCAACTCTGCATCTGTAAACAGCCGCGTCGCTCTCGCGAACCTTTTCCAAGGTGAGCTTCGCGGGTGTTTCGGTGTGCTTGAAGAAGGCACGTTTTTCCAGGCTCTGATCCTGCCAGTGATCCCCATTTTCCAAACTATTCCTCCCCCTCAAGTCGATACTGCAATAAAAATCCATTGAAATTTAACCAAACAAATTTTTACTTGCCTCAAATTATATGTATATATATTTTTAAAATAAAAATAGTTACTTTTTTGTGTCACAATAGTTTTAATGTTATCAAATCGTACGTACCTATATGCAAAATTCTGAATAACCGTAATTAGCGGATAAAAGTATCTTAAATATATTTAAGGCTTCTCGTGAAGGAACGCGAAGGAAAGTTTGTATTATAAAAGCCATAAAAAGCTATAAATAAGGAAAGCTCTTCTTCTCTTTTTCTCTCTCTACCTCCTTCAATACTCGCTAATGCGCGTCATCGCGTTTCTTGGATAGGCGGACGCGCGTACAGAGGGAAACTTTTATATTGCCCCTATTAAACTCTCACGAGAGACGGTCAATCGAGAAAAATGCTCCGACCGAAGAAAAGTACAGAGTCACGCAGGATTCTCGCAGCACTTTGCCCTCTAATATCGGCCCTTTACGCCGGCGCGCTGCCCTCGCAGAATTTCTATCGGCGAGCAGAAACGAAGCTAACTGAATTTATGCGGCGTCGTTGCTACAAAGAAATTTGCCGAAGAAATTTGCGACGGATCGGGGGGTCGTAATGAAATTCCTCAGCAACTTTTCCTCGAACTCATTATTGTGCTTCAGCGAAATTTTCGACGGAGCTCGGATCGGGGATATTTAACATTAAGGATGTAATTTCTCCTCGAATAACGTTTACATATTATTGCCCTGCGTATATACATTATGTGTGAAAGTTTCTTTTGTACAGAATGTCCTTGGCGCTTCATCCCTTCGCGACAGATTCTAGAGTTATGATTAGATCACAGAAAAAAAGGAATTCTTGATTCAAGTATATTTTTATTCTTGAACGCTATTTGATTGATTTAAGCATAGAATGCTCTTTGTAATCACAAATTTTTATTTGCCTTAATAATAAATAAGTTTGTGTGAAGTATATTTTATCTTTAAGATATATTCTTGTTTTAAAAATCGCATATGATAAAAACAAACTTAGTCACATTTGAACTGTTAGAATTATTACATATACTTGAAAGTACCGCTTATATCCGATGCTCACTTGTCACTTGTCCTTGCAATATTTATAAGTAAATTTCAGTTTCAACCAAGAATATTTTGCACTTTGTTTTAAGAATAAAGAATCATTTATCCAAAATTATTTATGTTTGGCGCTATTATAAGGATAAAATATACTTGAATCAAGGCATATTTGCATTCTTTCAAGGATACTGTTTTTTCTGTGATGAAATCGAGAGCTTAAAGAGCGAAGTCCACTTTGCATGTCCACTTCAAATCGAGTCAATTACTACTTTTTAAGCATTTTAATTCGAGATATTTCAAACATTAAAAAAGATTATTACACAAGACCATACAATATTAAAAAAAAAAAAAAGTGGCGATTTCAAGATTCGTCAAAGTTATAAAAATTACACTTGGCGAAAACAAAGATCCTAAAAACAATTGAAACGATTATTTCGAACAATTAAGACAATTGTTGCTAATTTATTCCTCTAATTCCGCTGAATTATATTCGCTACGCAAGAAGATCCAGAGCGAGCGTGTATTCGTGGTAATAATTAACCGCCATAATTTCCTTATCTCCTTAAACGTGTACGCTTCTAATGCGCGATTCAGTTCTTGGTAGTGTCTCGTTGCAGTTTCTGTGACTCTGTCAACGTTACTAGACTACGGCGTCAGTTATATGCCGTTATCGCGAAACTTTTAAACGTGCCGGGGTCGTGACATTGTCTGCATATCGGCAGTCATATTTTCCTTGAAATTTTCAACAATCGCGACATCCATTTTGCAAACGTACGCGAGAACTTTGCATAACTAATCCCCCGGCAAAAAAAAGTTATAATTGAAAAAAATAAAATAATACAATAACACGATCCATATATTCTCTGTATTAATAATATTGAATACTGCGTGTGACATAAATATTTTATTGCAAAGTATACCGGGAAGAGTAGGATCGTTAAATTCCTTGTAGATTTGATCCCATCACGAAATTATGAATTTGACAAATTGTGTATCAGAAAAAGATGATCGTACAAGATAACTTCCTCGCGAGATAAAAACTTTCACAAACTCTTTAATTGCGCGTTTGCTCCGAAAAGACGAGGCGCGATGTATTCGACATAAAAGTATCCTTTCTCCATTCCCGAGGAAAAGAAAGAATCACGACAAGGCGAAACAATAGTTACACACAGCGCCAGCTTGAATCGACAATCGGAATTGATTTCGTTGGATGTAAAATAGCAGGTGTGACGAATGCTGCACCTGCTCAGACGCGAATGCGTCCCAGGGGCGGCGACAAGAGAAAGAGAGAGAAGAGTATACGCGCGATATATGTATATATATGTACGGAGCAGTTTTCTGAAACCGGTCCCTGGAGGACGTTCCGGTATACTTTTATATGACCCGCCCCGGTTCGCCAAGGTGAGTTACATCGTCAACCGAGCGTGCGAAAGCGTACTCTCCTCGTTCATCCGGAGCATTTTCTGCGTCTTCGACTTTTCTCTCCCTTTCCTCCTCCTCAACCCCCTACGATCGAGGCGGCGAATTAAGTTAATGAAAAGGGACACCGGGGTGTCGCGATAAAACGATGTTCGCGTACGGCTCGTAATATTCGATAACGAAGTGTGCACATTGCAGTTATCATTTTGTTATCTTCGACACGCCTCTTCGAGCCGCGATTATCACGCACGCGGTATATTTCTGAAATAATCTTGAGCCACTTTAGATCCGGATCTGATTTTCGGGAACAATTTGCGATATACGGAGTATAAAAAATAAAATACAAGGAAGACTCGTGTGAAGCGTAAAATTGAACCGCGGATTCATCCGAATCTTCTTATGCATATCTGATGCATTCTGCGGGGTCGCGTTTAGGCACAATTTTCGTGAAACAAGACGGAAAAGTCCGTCGTCTTTATTTTAATGAAGAATCTAATTTGTAGGTCGCAAAGTCATAGTTGATCAACATTATAATTCCACATTGTGGATACGGTTTACGAATGCGTTTATCTCTCACGCGGACGTTTCATCAGACGTGAATGCAGGACGAATGGAATAATCGCATGTTGGGCACATGCAAGTCCATACAAAGGATTACTGCCCTGCAAACAGATGAGGAATGCTTATCACGTATGCGCACGTCATGCTTTTGCATTTCCTTTGTCAACGTTGCAACCGTCACTTTGACGTTGCCTCCGAACTGTTATCGATAATCTCCTTTAATTATTCGCGCAAAGAGAGAAAGTCGGCCGCAATCATTTCGGGAGAGGAATGGAATTACGTGACAAAATTGTGACCTTTTACGACCGGTCTATACTATATGTAGCGGAAAGAAACTTATTAAACGTCAATTAAAACTACCGCGGATCTTTACTCTCTTTCATTTGCGAATTTTTTTTCACCGATTCGCGCTCAATTTTCTTTCGTTCCAACGAAAGGTTTTGCAACAATTGTTTTAGCTAAATTAGACCGATTCGTTTAAATTTAAATCTTTAATAATCTCTCCATATGTTCCATATGAATAAATCTTTCCATATGTAAGTTTCGAGATTAATTTATGTATGGAACTTTGTAATCTCGTACCAAGAGAATTTTTCGTTCTTTGGCTCAGTTGGCCGATTTAGAAAACACCATATTTATATTAAATCTTCAAGTCGTTAATCTACGAATGAGAAAATTAGATTCGATCAAACCACTTTCGAAACGAATTCGATCCATCACATTACGTATATGAAAAAAAAATCATTTTTTTCTGACAATAATAGTCGCTACGAGTGTTTCCTTCCTGCATCCGTATAACAACTCGTTCGCAAGAACGAGGATCGATCAATTTGCTCGAGAATCGGGGAGGACGAGCGTTTGAAAAAAACAAAACCGCCGTGGCGCGACGGAGGGAGCACTTCGTCACGGGTCGAAAGACTCTCAACTTAATAAAACTGCGAAAAAAGAGTAAGACAGGGAGGAAGATGAAGATGGAGAGAGAGAAAGAGAAGATCGCCAGCGGGTAAATGCGATAGACGCGGGCGATATGGCGTATTGTGTGCGCGCCAAAAGAAATAATATCGTATCCATAATTTCGCTCTGGAATACCTTTAAGCCCCCGTCACAATTCATATATCAGAGTCAAGGCTCTGGAAGAGGAATAGGGAACGAGGCGAAGAGAGAAAGGAAAGGCAGCGAGAAATAAAGGGCAGCAGCCAATTCGCTATATGGACCACTCTGAAGGGAAACACTTCGCGACATACACGCTAAGTGTGTCACGAAGTTGGGTTTTCCCGCTGATCCATCCCTTTCTTTCCTCCTTCTCCAACGTCGCGGGAAAAGAGATGGGATTCCTGACTTCGCCTCGTTTCTATGCATAAAACCGCGATATCAACTCTTCGGAATAAGAAAATCGGGCGGCAGCAACTCGGAAGGAGGAAAGCCACTGGGGGATGCGTGGATACTTTAATCCCTGTTCTTAGTGTTGTGTCGGGCGTGAGATTAACTCTTCCTTTTCCCATTCCCTAACAGCCAAAAGAGGATGTCCTCTGGATATCCTCTCCGAATGTCTTTCGGATATATGCTGTTAGGGTTGTTTCGCAACAACGTCCGGGCGTGTTTCTCGCGAATTTATTATTATTATTATTTTAGCAGCGATTTTAATCGAATTACGTAATTTCGCGTTTCCCCTTTTTCGCATGCGTATATATTAATCCTCTTGCGCGTAGATTTTACGCATCGATTGCGCGCGTCGGTTGCCAAGCAACGAATACATTATCAAGATCAGTGCGCATCGGCTTGCTGCACAACGGGATAATTTCGGCAGCGTGTACGTACCTATAGAGTGTATGCTTAATGCATTACTCGACCATTCATAGTCAATAAGCGGAGTATAAAGTAACGCGCGCGTACGTTTATACTCCTCGCAAAAACATCCGCGAAATTTCAAACGTGATATGCACATATAAATCCCGCCGGCAAATATACAACATAATAAGTCAACAATCCGGCAAAATTGGCAGTAACTACCGAGACGCGAAACTCTGAACGAGGTTACGAGATTCCAAAACATGCGATATGCGAATTAATTGCATCGGACATCGCGTATTTTCATTGTAAAACACGTGTTTGCGTAAATACTAAATGCAAGCTCTCTCTTCCTGCCTCTTTAAATTTCTGCATAAGTTAATCGCGCGATTAAACCGGCTTGAAAAAAAAAGAAAAAAAAAACAAACACGTAGATGCGAGAATTCGACGCAGGATTCGAATTTTCCGGGATAATCGTGCTTCGTTTACGAAGAATACGCGGATGGCACTTGAATTCTCAAATTGGCGGAATCGCGCAGTCGAAATTGCAGCCGCGGCGAATTAATTAATTCTCCGAGGGAGTTTAGCGTACGTTAATTTTTTTCCTTTGAAAAGAGGGGAAAAAACGGCAAACTAATATCGAGCCGTCGAAGAGGAAGCCCTTGAGCGAATTGCAAGACGTAAGACAGCGCTTAACAGAAAAGTTTTTTCATTTCAACGAAAACAATCTCTTGTAATGTACCGGTAGTTTTCAGAAGATTGGACACGGTAGCAGTAAAAGGAACAGATTAAACATTTATAGGATGTCCACTTCCGTCGTATTATCGTTACTTTATTATTTACATCCGTTATTTTCTTTTATTATTATTTTATTATCTAATAAAATGATTGTGCGATAGATCGTATATATCATTATGTGTGTGTGTGTTTTCTGCAACGATAGATATGTCAAAAGCGCTTTCGATAGGAAGAGAAAATGTTAAAATCAAAAGTCATGAACAATATGGCATGAGAAGAAAAGCTGACTAATATAAATGACACGAAAATGATACTTTTGATACTAACGAAAAATATGGCATTTTTTCATTGACGAGGACAGCTTTTCAAAAATTACGCGAAACATCAAAGTTTGAATAATGAATCGAAGAGCTGTGATGTGAAAAAATTTAATACACAAATATCGCATATCGTATTAAAACACACATGTCTCTTTATATATGAAAATAATTTTTTTCTACATCTCAAATAGAGAACTTGCATAATATTATAATTACGTATTATTTTTTTGCGTGTAACACATATGTATGTGATATGTCTTCTATGCGATAGTAAGTAAATCTAATTAACGAGAGTGATGGTAAACACGATTTGATATCATTACCATATAATTATTATTGTGTCAAGACGGTCATTTGTATGTCGAGGGTCGGTCAATTAACGTTTCTGCTACAGACGCGATTCGCTTTGATTTGACGAACATCGCGTCGGAGGGAAACGTTCTCCTTCTCCCGAACTGGAACATCGAGCGATTTTCCTGCAGTTCTGATGTGTCACTTTCCGCGGCGCGGAATGTAAATTATGTCTGTCTTTCTGTTTGAGAGGCATTTCCATTTGCGCGAATTAAGTTGAACGCGGAACAAACGGAGAAGAGTTCGTTTTCTCAACTGACTCGAGTATATCCCGCGCATAATCAAGGCCGCTCTGTCTTAAGAAATTGATAAATCTCATTCGGAAGCAATTACCGTTGCAATTATTCTGCTAATATTATTTATACGCCAAAAGATCACCTCTCGGCAAAATTATATATAAAAATTTCTCTTTCATTTCGAAATTGAGTCTTCGAAATTTTACACACATTTTATACATAAATTATACGCTCTTCTATCATATGTGCACATTAATCTCTAGGTCATAATTGTATAATCTATTTACTTTCCGTAACATCGAGTATTATAAATCGGGAGCAAGTCTCAAAGGCGCAATTTATAACCCACGTTCGTTAGTTCCATTTCTAGTTGCTTGTTAACTGGAATAAATAAATTTGTCGCCATGGGAGAATAGTGTTACACATGCGAGATTACATTTATACTTATAATCACGCATTGATAAATGAAAAGTATAATACGCGCGACTTTGTTCCCATAATTATTATCCCGTGTATTACAATGCATCTCAAATTCCTGTGTCGTATAATTCGTCTTTCATATATATCATACCTGACATTATCATTCTACATACCATAAGCGCTGCATTGCGATGTTAAATACGTGCGACAGAATTATTATGCTAGATATCTAAATCGGTCTCTGAAATGCGTTCCAAGCGAGATACAAAAATTGACAAAAATTCGCGACGCGGTGTTATTTTATTACGATATACAAAATGCGAATTAAAATTAATTTGAATTAATATAATTCATAAAAAACTTATCGACTAATAACTTTCGCTGTAAACAGCGGAAAGAAATTTCCGCATTATCTCCCGTGTGAATAAGGAAAAGTTTAATTTAATGTCGCGCGAGAAAGTTTGACATTTTCGAAATAACAAACCCGGCGCGAAAAACTTAAATCCTTATGGTAATTTTCCGAGCGAAGTTAGATATCAAAATACGAGAATCTACGAATAATCTTGGCAGCGCCAAACGCCGCTGTAATAATAATGAGAAAGCGCGCGGCTTCGCGGTTTCCGTTTTACGCTCGAAAAGCGAGAACGATATTGCACGCGATCAACATAAGAATGAATGTCTCTCGCGAGCGCGCGAGAAAGGGGAGGAAAAGAGAGATGGAAGAGAGAATTTACCTGTATATCGGTGCTGTATCCGCCTCCTCCTTGTACCAAATAACTAGGTGCAGCTTGTCCCCCGAGAGCGGCGGTTTCACGTCGCACGGTAGCTGAGCAATTCCTCCTACCACCGCTTCCGCATCTGTCATTGTCACTGTAATGACAAAGTCGGGTCGAGAGTCAGGCCAAGATCATATAACCGGAAAAACGTGGTCGGAATACACGCGGATCCGACGTCACAACCCTCTCGGCTAATCCGCTACGCTATTAATAGACTAGATTCTAGCGCCCGGTAGATATTTCGCTTTCGGGCCCCGATTTAATCCGCGTATTCGCGAGATCATTCGTGCGCGATTTTCTTCTAAGCCGCGGGATCTCCTCTCTCTCTCTCTCTCTTTCGAAAGGTATCTCCGATATTTTACCGGGGATTGCATGTATCTCCCGTTCGCGCGAGAAACGTCACGAGGGAACGTGTTTCCTCTTCCCGGAAGCGAGCATCTCTTTTCGCTTTAAATCGACGTATACCTGTAGAGCGTCTCGAGATGCGAATAGACGTATTTCCTTCTCCTTGTTTTTCCTTCTCCCATCAATTATTCAATAATACGTATATAATATATGAAGTATATCCCTTCGAAACATTTTTTTACTCCGACCACATAAAATACCCCTCTTTCGTAATGAAATATAAACTGTTTGTTATATCGAGATTTGTCCGATTGTTCCGATCAAAGTTATTTAATTTTTATTGTAAAAAATATGTGTGGTAGGGAGGAAAAATATTTTTTTTTTTTTTCAATTAATTTTTCGAAAAACAATTTGTTTCCAAAAACGATAAATAATTACACTGTTATATCGTATAATATTTTGTGACAGATACGGTAAGAATTTAATTTGGAGATGTCACGTAAAAAAGAAGTAATTTTAATTAGATCTTAAAGGAGCTCGTTCACTTTTTCTAGAAATAGAAAAGAATATACATTTTCAATTTTTTGCACTCTTTAAAAGTATATATCAATTTGAAGTAAAAGAATTTTTGTCTTGGGACTTTTTTTCTCTTATTACAAACAGCGGGTCAAGATGCAAAGAATTCCGGATTCGTAAACTCCGAGAGAAGAATTTAGTCGAGAAAAGAAAAGTCTAGGAATTGGACTGTGACTTAATCACAATGAGGAGAACTCGGTTCACATTTCGATTACTCTGATATTTCTAAAGTTCTAATTATCAGAAGGTTTCGGAAAAATTTCGATAACAAGCGGAAACTCTATAGGAATCACGTTTCATAATTTCAATGCAAAAAATTATCCCTTTTTTACTCAACTTTTATGAATTTAAATATAATCATAAAATAGAAAAAAGTCGTAATTACAGAAATTTGGTTAACGTATACGATTCCATTTAATAATCGTAACATTAGCGACCATACCGAACGAATGACCTCGTGACTTTTATTCTATAGAATAAGCGCGTGAACAATGATATATCAATTTCCACGAAAATGCAGAGCGCATTCGAGGATTGAGAAAAATGATGCAATTAAGATCGTTAATCAAATGTAATTGTATCAATTAATCATACTATTTTAATAGCAAAGTTAGTTTGGGATATGATCTGAATGCATAATTTTAACCAATAATTAAATTCAAACGGAGAACAGAGATATCGCGCTTGTGGCAGATTTATTCCTGATGCAACCTGCAAAGTGACACTTTGTTGTCAGCATTATATAACTTAATTGCTTTATGTAACGCTCAAGTTTTTGAAAGTAGATGAATCGGAAAGAGTATATATAATAGTCTGTTTCGCAAGAATCGATGACGTAAAAGACAGAAGAAATGTAATTTGAATAAATATTACAATAAATCACACATTTGATCGTATAATAATTTTTCTCTAAATACACGCGCATGAATTTTCTATAGCAACTTTCCGAACAATTCAAAAATTCAAAAACACACTCTCTCTTTATATAGGTGCTCGTCTATGCGTGCTTTTTTCGAGTGAATATCGGTGAAATTCTGCCGAAAATGTTTAATGATCCGTACGTTGCGCCGCGTCGAGTGGGCGGGAGCGCTCAGTAGCTCTCGTATAATAGTGACCATGGCATCTGGTTATAATTAATGCACGATCAATTAATTTCGTTCCTTGTTTTACGCCGTCAACGACAAATTTACCGGATCATCGTTCCGCGGCCAACGAATTTATGCGCGTTTTATCGCGCGCCCATAAAGCCGAATGCACGCGAATCTATTTTGCGAGCTTCCGTAATTGGTGGCCGATATGACGCGGACGAAATCGCGGCGATAATTGGCGATCACGTGTCTCGTCGGGCGCGAGGGTGTAATCGGGTACAATCGCGCGTCGGGATATATGTATATTTTTGGAGAGGAAGAGAGTTTCTTCTGAAATTGACACATGTGCATATATGTATGTACATGCGCGTGTGAAGTTTACACATATAACGATTCGTGTTTTCGCCACGTTACTATTCGTTAGCGCGCGAAATGTTGCCCCTATTTGCCTTTCAGCTTTATTTATCGGACACGGAGAACGCATTAAAACGTGCATATCGAAATAAGTATAAAATGATCACGTTCCCGCGGACGCTAATAATGCGGTGTAATTGGATCGCGATTTCGTTCCTTCTTTTTTTTTTTTTTAATTTTTTCTCCGACTCTTTGCATCAAATTATACGTTATGTGTTCCGTGATGCAAAAACAGAGGGTACAGGTTGAAAATAGAGGGAAAAAGTACTCGATAAATTCATCTCTTTATCATTGAATTGCGATGTCAAAGTAAAACAGGACGTATTAAAATACATGCAATATACGAAAATATCTTGAATAGTGACGGCAAGTAAATTTTATCTTTCCTGATGCGGACAAACAAATTTGGGAAAGACAAAAGATACTACAGACATGTAAATCAGAACTAATAAATAATCTCATCTCGCGTTCTCAAAAATATACACGGTCAATGCGCCAAACAAAGTTTCTCTCTCGCTCCTCGGCAGAGTATCCTGTGCCCTTTTTTTTTTTAAACCCGTGATATACTCGGGGCGACGTTTCGAAGCAACGACATCGGCGGGCTATTTATTGCAAACGCTCGGCCAAGCTCTGCCCAGGGATCGCGCGATCTCCATTTTAAATGTAATCCCGCAAAAGTATACGGCCGCGCGGTACATCGATAATGGTAACTGTAATCAAACCGTAGGACGAAATTGGGGCCGATCAATTTTGAGTACGGCTGTATTTTAATAGAATCGATGCCGCGACGGCTATCACTCGGCGCGCTTGTGACGTTTTCGACGCCGGAGATTTTTTTAAATTCAATTTTTATCCTTTTTTTTCCCCGTATATGTGGCTTCGATCGCGAGACGCGGTCACATTTGAATACATAATTGACAACTTTTTTTTTGTCTCTCGCTTCACTCGCGTTTGATCCTCTCCTCTCCCGCTTTGTGTCTTAAACCTTCTTCGCGTATTTCCTTCCGATTCATCAGCCAATAAAATGCCATTTAATTTCGATGTATTAAAAATGAGAAAAAAAAAGACGACACGCGAATATATAAAACTGCGATGGGGAACATTAATGAAAATGTCGATATCAATTTATGTGTACTCGTAGCATCTCGTCTATTATTTATTTACCTTTCTCTTTGTGCGCTTATCGATTACTGGACATACAGAATGCCAATCTCCGTACGTTCGAAATAACATATAAATTATCGCTTTGAAATTTGTTCTCATTGTTTATCGAGACCTTTATCACGTTTTAATCAAGGATTGTTGATTGAGATATTGAGAAAACATTTTTGAATATAATAGAAACTTATTTTTGATTAATTAATATCGCTATAATATTATTATTTGATAAAAAGTATAATGGAAGAAAACAAAAATTATATACAATATTTAAATAAAACAAAAATATATTCATATATTTTTTTTGCAAATCTAAGGAATGGCTTAGAAAGAATTCTAATAAGGGAACGTGCTGTGCATAATTTTTAATTTAACATATAAATTATCGCTTTGAAATTGGTTCTCATTGTTTATCGAGACCTTTATCACGTTTTAATCAAGGATTGTTGATTGAGATATTGAGAAAACATTTTTGAATATAATAGAAACTTATTTTTGATTAATTAATATCGCTATAATATTATTATTTGATAAAAAGTATAATGGAAGAAAACAAAAATTATATACAATATTTAAATAAAACAAAAATATATTCATATATTTTTTTGCAAATCTAAGGAATGGCTTAGAAAGAATTCTAATAAGGGAACGTGCTGTGCATAATTTTTAATTTAGAGATATAATTTCGTTAAGAAAAAAAACCATTAGATATCGCTGATCATAATTTTAATTTGAAGAATCTCGAAGAGTGAGAAAATTAAAAAGGTAAAGGAAATAAAAAATAAAGGAAAAAATAAGGTCTTAAAATACGGTAATATAATATATACCGTGTATTGGGAAAATAAGAGCTGCGAAATTAGTATCCTTCTTTTCTATAGAAATGCAAAACGAGATTCCGCGGAATATATACCGAGAATTATTACAAAATGTTCTACCTCGTCGCGTATTTTCCGCGACATGCGGTTTCAAATTGGTGTACGATCCCTTTCTGCACACATACATACATACACACTTGGCGAGCAGGACTGCGCTCTCTGAATACGACAACGCGACACGATGCAACGCGATGGCCGTGCAAGTTGCAGTACGCAGCGGCTTTTACCGCGCCGCAAACAACCATTTTCATTTAGCTTTTCCGCGGCGCTAAGTGAATTTTACCGGACGCACCTTTCTTCCATTCTCTTCCGTATACGTTCGAGCTCTCGCGAGTCTCGTTATTAAGCCCCGGTCGAGAATCTAATCTACTTCCTGCTCTTCTCGCAGAATATATATATATATATATATATATATATATATATATATATGTGTGTGTGTGTGTGTGTGCCGGTCGATCCGGTATATATACTCGAGAAAAAGAAAGAAAAAGAAAAGCGCGCGTGTAGATCGTCGCAGCCGCGCGTAATTTCGAAGGAGAAACGCCGAAAGCTAATTATCGCCGTCGGCGGGAAAATATTTTTCCCGTTGGTTATACACACCCATCGCAATAATATAAAGCGCGCTTTTCCCTCGCGTG